CAGCACCTCGTGTCTGCTCTTTCCCGGGGCCTCCTGCGTGCCGGGGCCGGTGGCACCCAGGCGATCGTAGCCGGCCCCCTCCTCCACAGCCCAAATGACCTCTTTGCTGGGGACCACCGCCTTACGCTGTGGCCTGGTGACCGTGTCCGTGAGCGCCTCTTCCAATGAGCTCTTCTTGGACTTGAGGCGATGGAGCTCATCTATCTTCAGCAATCCGAAGGTCTTTGAGAACCACTTGAGGGTGTTCCACACCTGCCTCAACTTGCACGGGGTGACCTCCTCATCGGCGAGCTGGTTGAGGAGAGAGCGGACATGTCGTTCCTGCCATGGAATGACGGTGAAGCCTCTCTTGCGGAGACTGGCAATGTTGCCTGAGCGTCCGGAACCTGCTGTCCCCCAAGAGGTCCAATGCCTCCTTGCGGAAGTCCTCCCCCAGGATGTCCTGCATGTATGCAATGTGCTCCGCAAAGGGGGCGAAGTGGGCAAGGAGCCGTTCCGCCCATTCCCCGCGCATATGGAGTTCCAGCGCTCGCTGGGTCGTGGGCTCCATTTCCCTGATCTTCCCGGGCCGCCAGTGCCTCCACTTCAGAAGCTCCGGCTGTTGGAGTGGGGGTGGGTCATCTACCTCAGTTGGTCCTGGCGGTCCCATTCATTCTCCAGCGGGGAAAAGTTCTCGCTCGGCTTGCCATCCGCAGCCGCCATGAGGAGGAACCATAGGCTATCCCAAAGGTCGGCCAGGTCCGCCGCGGACAAAGGCTGGGGAAGCCTGCCCGCCACCGACGCCACCAGGCCGTTGAAGTAGTCTGTTGGTACCACTTGGTCAGCTCCCCGCCCAGCTGCCTCCCTTCCTCTGCCGTGCCATGGTGCAGGCACATCAGGACCAGCAGCTCCCCGTCCGTCTGTCTCGGGGAGAAGGACTCATCCGCCAACGTGTCCCACAGGACCCTTGGAATGCGGTCCCAAAGACGAGTGTAAGGCGGGCGCAAAAGAAACTTTGTAGAGACCCTAGCCATGATGAAAACGGGGGGTTCGAGCCTCCTATCGAACGGCCGGGACCCAACCGCGGCACACTGCACGCATGTTCCAACCCCACAGGATGCCGAGTGCAAATGGGGCAGGCAGGCCACATGCAGCCCAACAGGACCCAAAAGTCAAACCCCCGGAAATCCCCAAAAAGGACCACGGAGGGGGGAAGACCAACCCGGCGGGGGATTCCCCCAAAACCTGCAAGGGGACCTCAGGGAACCGAGAGTCAGCCGCAGCCACTTTCTCCAAACTGTGGCCGATATGGCCCGTCCTTGGGGCAGCCAAAGCGTGCAGCCTCCAGTTCAAGGCAAACCGGCAGTCGTGATGCGTTGAACAGGGGGGGAAACCCAGGTGAAAGAAGAACCCAAAAGAGGACACCCTTACTCCTCCCCACCCGAGACGTGGGCCAGAGGCACCCAAGTCCCGGGGGGAAGAGATCTCACGACTCCCCATCCAAAAAGGCTGTGAGACACGACCTAGCGGCTCTCACCCTTCAAGATCGCCTCCTTAGCCACCGAGTGGATGGCCGCCAGCCCTGACTTCTCCGGGTTGCTCAAGATGACCGACCACAAGGCAGTGGAGACATCCCCCAAACCATTCGAGGAGCTGAAGCGCATGCGCGGGGTGCTCGCATCTCCAAGGACCAGCCGCTCGTCCCTGGGAGGCTCCGTCGGCTCCACCCGCTTGTGGAACTCCATCCTGTCCCGGATCCACTGATTATATAGCTGCTCCGGGGGCTCGTCCATCACCAGCTGCAGGCATGTGGCCTTGTCCTTGTGCCACCCCGTGATCTGGAGCAGCCTGGTCCGCCCTCCACAAGCCCTTGCAGAACCTGCACATGTAGCCCCCGGTGGTCTTGAACTTCGCTGATGCTGGGCAGGACCAGGCCGGAGGGTACCGCCTGGTGCCCTGGTCCGGCGTGCGGAGCGTGGTGTCCGCTCCCCCCATAATCTTGGCCTTGGGGTCCGATTCCTTGGCCGCTCCTCCCCCGGGCCAGAGGCACCCAAGGGGGGGGAGCAACCCATCTGCCTGATAAGGTCCTGGGAGTAGCCCAGCCGGTCGTACAGGGCCCCCGCCGCTGCGGGACCTGCTCCACCCAGTCATGGACCACGTTGCAACGCCAGTTGACCTTGACCTCCACCATGGAGGACTTACTCAGGCCCGACACCAGCTTGGTGTACACCGAGTCGAAAGCCCTCAACGATGACAGTGGAAGGGTGATTCGCTCATCGCAGACCGCCCTGAAACGCAGCGCCTCCTTGCTGTCGTGGACGGGGGCCACTGGGATCTCCATCACCGGCAACGGGCAGTTAGCGATGAAATTCTTGGCCGCCAGAAACGTCCCCATCTCCTTGAAGATGTAGCTCCATTCCGCCTTGCTGCGCGGCTTGGGGATTCCCAGGCTCTCCAGGAAGGGGACCGCCTCCTTCCTCATCTGGAGGATGTTGCCCATCCACTTGTCCGAGGCCGAGCCCTCCGCATTGCGGCCCCGGCGCTGCGTCTTCACGATCAGCGGGAAGGTGGTCCAGGCCGAGTAGATGTACTTGAAGGTGAACCTGTGGGCGTACACCCCCGTCAAGCTCGGCAGGTCCCACGTTCTCGTCTGCCTTGTCCAAAACACTCCATCGCCCTTCGCCCAGAAGATCCCCACCACCTGCTCCGGCGCCGGGCGCTCGCCCCGGTTCACCTGCGCTCGGATCTCCAAGGCCGTGTAGATGACAGGGTCGATGTGGTCCTGCTCGCACGTGAGTGGGTGGGTCCTGCGCTCCAGGGCCAGAAGCTCCTCCGGAGTGAGCTTGAATTGCTGGTCCGCGCCCTTGGGGATCTCACCGCTTGAGTGCTTCTTCCAGATCCCCCCAAACATCCGTAGCTCACCTTGGTGCCTCTTCATCGCCCAGAGGAGCAGGGACAGCTTGCCCTCCTCTGAGTCCAGGTCCTGCTGTGGCGTTGACTGGGCCAGTGGCACCCTTGAAAAGGGCCGGTGTCGCCAGATCAGGCATCTCCTCCAGCAGCGCCTCCTGGTTCCATGGGTTCTGCGCCTCTCTGAGCCGCCTGATGTAGGGGACATACTTCTCCTTGATGTCTCCCACGTTGGGGATGTCCTCGGGGTCATCCAGCTCCAGGGGGCAGAACAGCCCCCTCTCCAGAGCCTGCCTGAGATCATCTGGCCACGCCGACACTTTGAAGGGCTTGAGGGTGTGGTTAAGCATCCATGCCTGGTTGGTGTCCTGGGCCTCCTGAGCCTCCTGGATGGAGCCCATCGCCTCAGCCAGTGCCTGGCTGGCGTCAACGCCCTTCGCTCCAGGGTGACCTTCCTGAGGGCCCCCTCTGACGGTAGGGCCTGCATGCCCTCCTGAAGAGGCGCCAGGATAGCCATCTCATTGTCCAGCATCTCATCCGTGACCAACCTTGTGCCGCCGCCTGGCCAAGGACTCCTCCGGGGTCGGTTCCCGGCGCTCCCTCAAGGCCTTATGCAGCTCCTCCTTCTTCCGGATCGCCTGGTCCACCTGGGGGTGGTAGAGCTGGAAGCTCTGAGCCTCCGCCTCCTTCAGGGACCGCTGCACTTTGACCTTGACGCTCCCGGACCTTCAACGCCTCGTCGTCCGCCTCCATGGACAGGATCTCCTGCCGGATGTCCACCCGCCTGTTAAGCGGGACCACGTCTGCCATGGTAATCTCCTCTGCCGTGTCCGTTTTCGGAGGGGCTCTTCCCAGGACCGTGCCGTCCACCAGGTTGCGGTCTGCCTGTGCCCGGGTACCACCGGGGCCAGCGGCACCCAGGCTTCCCGGTGCTGGATCCAGGTCGGCTTGCCCTCAACAATGAGCAGGTTGTAAGTGACGCCGTCCGCCTCGTAGGTAGCCGAGGGTGCCTGGAAGGGGACGAACTCCTTGCCCGGGCAGACCCAGCATTGCTTGGCTGCCTCCGGCCACCCCGTGCCGCATGCCTTGCACATGAATTTGTAGTCTGAGTGGCCGGCGCATCCGCTGGGTGCCAATGCACGCCTTGTTCCTCTGGAACTGTGAGGCCCAGACCTCCTCCTGCCGGATCTGGATCTTCATCGGAACATAGGCCTCCAGGATGCGAATCACCAAGTCCTCCGTGAGATTCTTCCCGACAAACTTGTGGAACAGGGAGACCGCCTCCTCCACCGTGACGTCCCTCAGCAACGTGGCCGCCGATGCCGGAAGGACCGGGAAGAGGTCTGGGAGGTCCACTAACTTGAAGTAGCCGGGACGGCCCTCCACCGGCACAAGGGAGACCGGTTTGTTCACCTGGGCCGCGGTCTTCTGGGAGGCCGCCACGAAACCCTTCAGCCTCTTCGTTGGTGGAGTAGCCCGCTCCGTGGCGTCCGCATCTTCCATGTCCTTGTCCTCCTCCTCGGCGGGGCCAGGGGCACCCATGCCGGAAGTCGGTGTGGAGAAAGCCACACGGAGACGCTCCAGTGCACTGGAGAGGTCGTTCATCACGTCGGTAGCCGAAGCCGACGGGGGGGCCTCGGGCTCGTCCAACACCAGGCCGGCCGCCACTGCCGCCTCGCGTGTGCGGATTTCCTGGGCCTCCTGGCTGGCCATTCCCACCTCCTCCGCGGTGAGCGTCTGGTCCTCAATCAGCTCGAAGGAAGTTGCCGAGGTTGCCGAGGAAGCCATTGCTGGTTCGGGGTTAGTTCGGAAGTGCTCAAACTCAAATTTTTCACACAAGTTGGGTTCAAAGAACTCAGGGCAAAGCTTGAGCCAAAAGGGCATGCGCCATTATGGTCAAGCATTGCCAACGCAGTTCATGTTTCCACATGCGTTTCAACATTAACAAAATATACAAAAACCTACTCCAATGAAGCAGCTGCAGGGGAGGCGCCAAAGGCATGCCGCATGCATCATGCATCAACTTGTCTAAGACTGACTCTATACTGGCCCGTGTTTGTCGTGATTGACAATGCTCTTGAACTCGCAAGCCTGCGCTGTCTTCACGTCTGCGC